ATTTTCTTGAAAGCAAGTCCTTTTTTCTGGTGTTCTCAAATCCAAATTGTGAAAACCTTGCACTTTGACAACTATTGGCTAGTGAAGAGATACACGTAGATAGGCTGTGATTTCACTGTTATTGGTGCTTCTGCCTTTAAAAAGTGTATTGGGCACGTAGTTTTAGGTGATTGACGAAAGCAGTGATATAGGATTGAATTTAGTTCACCACTTTGATCTATCAAATTGGTTCAGAATAATTTATCTACTAATTTCTTTTGATTAATGCACGGATGATTTAAGCTCGCTAAAATGGTTGGATGGTTTAAGGTGGATACAAAATTGTAGTTTAAGATGACGAAAAACAGTGTGATTTAATGGCAGGGTTTGTGGTTAGGAAAGAGCTTATATTTATAGGCATTATTTAAAATTTTTAAGAAAATTATCATCGTTATTTTAATGAATATCGAGTGTGTTTTAACAAAGTAATTTTGTGAATAATTGAAGAGTTAAAGTGATATTTCATATTTATAAAGTATAATTTTCTCCCTTCTTTTAACCAAACCAAATGAAGAATAAAACATTTTAAATTTATTTAACATAATAATATAAATGATATTATTAACTCCACACCAGATCCATCCCACTTGGTATAAACCGTTCTGATTGAGACACTATTTAATATATATATATATATATATATATATATATATATATATATATATATTTTGGAAGAATTTGCCTCCTAATTAAGTTTGATTTTGGTTCCTCTTTGCCTTGTTCTGTTCTCATATCCAAATTGTGAAAACCTTGCATTCTTTGTGACAGCAACCGTCACATGAAATAAAATTGGGGAACACATATTTTATATACAAGTGACAATTTGTGTTGGCCACTCATATTTGTATCGTGTCAGAATATCTATTATATAAAGTTTGTAACACAATTATTATACAAGTAACATGGTATGCAATAAATGAGTTAAAATTTGATCCGATTGACACGAACATATCTTTGAACAGATGATAAAAAATCATACATTAGTATATTTTGTTAATTAAATATAAACTTCATGCGATCCTACCAAAATGTATATTTTATGAGCTAACGTATGCTTTCGTAGTTGTGAGAATCCGAGTGACACTGCATTTTGTTGTGAATGGTGCATTAATTAGCGTTGCGCATTGTCGGACTTTTGTTGTAGATTTTATCAGAGATTGCGTTATAATTTTGTTGTAGCTTGTGCATCTTCATCACCTATCAGCTGTTGTATACTGGTTTAACTTGATTTCATTATAGCGGGTGGAGAGATAGATGTGGATAGGAGGTGGTTACGCTCTTATTGATGCATCTGGTGATTATATATTGGGCACGCATTTTAAGGAAAGGTGTATTGGGCACATAGTTTAAGGTGATTGACGAAATCACTGATATAAAATTGAATTTAGTTCATCACTCTGATCTATCAAATTGGTTCACAATAATTTATCTACTAATTTCTTTTGATTAATGGGCGTCATCCAATTTGCTTGGATGATTTAAGCTCACTAAAATGGTTGGATGGTTTATGGTTGATTAAAAATTGTAGTTTAAGATGAGGAAGAATAGTGTGATTTAATGGAAGGGTTTGAGATGAGGAAGAACAGTGTGATTTAATGGGAGGGTTTGTGATTAGGAAAGAGCTTATTTATAGGCATTATTTAAATTTTTTTTTAAATATATCATCATTATTTTAATTAATATCGAGTGTGTTTTAACAAGGTAATTTTGTGAATAATTGAAGAGTAAAAATGATATTTCGTATTTATAAAGTAAAATTTTCTCCCTTCTTTTAACCAAATCAAACGAAATATGAAACATTTTAAATTTATTTAACATAATAATATAAATGATATTATTAACTCCACACCAGATCTATCCCACTTGGTTTAAACCGTTCTGATTGAGACACTATTTGGTGTTTTATATACAAGTGACAATTTGTGTTGGCTAATTTATATAACATAATTATTATACAAATAACATGATATGCAATAAATGAGTTAAAATTTGATACAATTGCTGCGGACATGTTTATCTTTCAGCAGATGATAAAATATTATACATTAATATTTCTTTTTAATTAAATATAAACTTGTGACCCCACTATACGATCTCACCAAGCTGTATATTTTATCAGCTGTGCTTTGGTAATTGTGAGAATCCAAGTGACACTGCGTTTTGTTGTGAAATGTGCATCTATTGAAATTTCAATAGTGGCTGCGAATTATCGAAGTTCTGTTGTAGATTTTTATCAGAGATTGCGCTATAATTTTATCACAGCTTGTGTTGTTTCTCTGTTAGGACCTCATCAACTATTGTGTCATTATCACTGGCGGAGAGATATCCGTGGATACGCAGTGTTTCATGCGTCTGGCAACTAGCATTGGGCATGCATTTTAAAGAAAGGTATATTGGGCACGTAGTTTAAGGTTTGACGAAAGCACTGATATAGGATTGAATTATCAGCACGGTGTTTAATTATTATTGGTGCGTTTGACAACTAAGATTGGGCACGCATTTAAAAAAAAAGGTGTATTGGGCACGCAGTTTAAGATTTGATGAAAGAACTGGTATAGGATTGAATTTAGTTTATCACTTTGATCTATCAAATTGGTTCAAAATAATTTATCTACTAATTTCTTTTGATTAATGGACATCTTTAAACTCAGTAAAATGGTTTGATGGTTTAAGGTTGATTGAAAATTGTAGTTTAAGATGTCGGAGAACAGTGTGATTTAATGGGAGGGTTTGTGGTTAGGAAACAGCTTCTTTATAGGTATTATTTAAAAATTTTAAGAAAATTATAGAAACTAGTAGAATAAATATATAAAAATCCCTAGCAATAATATTCTACAGAACTCTTGATTCATGATTCCCAACTATGCAATTCATCAAAAGTGCATTTTGGACAAATAAACACCTAAGCAAAATAATTTATATCTAGGCACATCTCAAGAACCTGTTTGGATACAGCTCTTATGATCTTATCAGTGGATTGTTAGAGAGTGTGTGTGTGTGTGTATATATAGAAGAATTTGCCTCCTAATTGTTGTTTAAATTTAACTTGTATTAAAAATAAAAAAAAATAAAAAAAAAACCTTCAAAACTTATTAAGAAAATGAGTTAAAATTTGATAATATTATACATTAATATATCTTGTTAATTAAATATAAACTTGTGACCCCACCATGCGATCCTACCAAGATGTATATTTTATGAGCTGACCTTTCGTGAATGTAGAATTCGACTGACACTGCATTTTGTTGTGAATTGTGCATCTGTTGGAATTTTATCAGCGTCTGCGGATTGTTGGAGCTCTGTTGTAGATGTTGTAGATTTTATCAGAGACTGTGCTTGTATACTAGTTTCACGTGATTTTATTATCGTTGGTGGAGAAATAGACGTGGATAGGCGGTGTTTCATTATTATTGGTGCTTCTTTGTAGCAGATGTTGTAGATTTTATCAGAGATTGCGCTATAATTGTGTTGTAACTTGTGCTTCTGTTAGGACTTTCATTAGTTGTTGTATACTGGTTTCACGTGATTTTATTATCGTTGGTGGAGAGATAGATGTGGATAGGCTGTGTTTCATTATTATTGGTGCTGGTCTGTTGCAGATGTTGTAGATTTTATCGGAGATTGCGCTATAATTGTGTTGTAACTTGTGCTTCCGTTAGGACTTTCATCAGTTGTTGTATACTAGTTTCACGTTATTTTACTATTGTTGGTGGAGAAATAGACGTGGATAGGCGGTGTTTCATTATTATTGGTGCGTCTGGCGACTGAGATTGGGTATGCATTTTAAAGAAAGGTGTATCGTGCACGTAGTTTAAAGATTGATGAAAGCACTGGTATATGATTGAATTTAGTTCATCACTTCGATCTATCCAATTTGCTTGGATGATTTAAGCTCACTAAAATGGTTGGATAGTTTAAGGTTGATACAAAATTGTAGTTTAAGATGACGAAGAACAGTGTGATTTAATGGGAGGGTTTGCGGTTAGGAAAGAGCTTATTTATAGGTATTATCTAAATTTTTTAAGAAAATTAAAAAAAATTAGTAGAATAAATTTATAAAAATCCCTAGCAATAATATTCTATAGAACTCTTGATTCATGATTTCCAGCTATGCAATTTATCAAAAGCGCATTTTGGACAAATAAATACCTAAGCAAAATAATTTATATCTAGGCACATCTCAAGAAGCTGTTTGGATACAGCTCTTATGATCTTATCAGTGAATTGTTAGTGTTTATGTGTGTGTGTGTGTATAGAAGAATTTGCCTCCTAATTGTTGTTTAAATTTAACTTGTATTAAGAAAAAAAAAAAAACCTTCAAAACTTATTAAGAAAATGATATTCATTGGAAGATCAATTGCGTTACATTGATTAATTTTAGAATGTATTTTACGCTATCAGTTTTTGACTGAAATGAAAAATATTTAACGTAAGTACTGGTTCGTACCGTTTCGTTGCGTGTTAAGAGGCGGTGCCATCTGATTTTGGTCTGAAAATTTTTATTGGGGGCAATAGAAGTTGGGAGCTATACCTAGTTCTTCTGTTTGGGAGTCTTCTATGATTTGGGCAGTAAAAGTTTGTGTTTGGTTCATTGTCAAGTGAGATTTAGGCCTTTTTTTTTTTTTTTTCATTGATTAACCTAATGTCGGAGCATTTTACCCATAATTTTATAAATGTAGAAAATGTACTTGATAAATTATGTGTATAAATTTTACTTCATAAATTTTTCCTTGGTTACCTATGGTCACTTTTGTCACTTGAAATAGACATCACTTACCTCTTTTGTTTTGTTAATCCAAGGAAAGAAAGAGAAACGAGTCCTCATTTTGTTTGGTTGAATGGAAGGAAACCGGTATAGGTAGGCACTTCCGCCCTTTTTTTGGTAGCCTTGGCATATTTTTACATTTGATACTATTTCAAATTATTTCAACACTATGACCGTAATAATTTTAGATTTAGGCTTAACAAAGTAATCTAAGTAGATAATCAAACGGTAAAATGTTATTTTATATAATATGGAATGGGCTATTGCTTCTTTCCCTCCCCTCTTTCACCTATTTTTGAAAGGATGAAAGGAGGTGGGCCCAGAGGGTTGCTGGAATCCCCCTTCTTCCTCTCCCATCCCTTCTTCCAACCAAACAACGGAATCACTTCCTTTCTCTCATCCTCCATTCAATCCAAACAAACCGCATTTCCATATTAGAGAGACAAGATCAACAAATAAACACACACTACATGATGATAAGGGCCTGTGATGTTAAAGAAATCAAAAGGATTCCTTCTTCAATTGTACCGTTTTCATTGTCGCTTGTTCACATCTTCATTCCCGCTGCTCTTTAGCACCTTCAATTTTCTGTAGCCTTTATCAGTACCGAATATCCTGACAAAGTAGTGGTCAGTAAACAGATGTTGAATATTTTATGCTACCTTTTGAGCATGCTTGTTAACCATTAGACATTTTAGATTATGAATTGGATTCAACAGCCAAACAACTCTAAGAAAGTTAAAACTATATACAACCACCCGAATCTGGATATGGGGAAATATCGACAAAAAATTGCACATCTATTGTATGATAGGATCAAGCTTCGGTTGAAAAATCTTGAACCAAAATATTTAAGTTGGTCTCAGGTTGAGGCTTCGAGCAACCGAGACCCAAGCTAGTATCTTCTTACAGTACATGTATATATAAACCCATTAGTATTAACCATAAAATCATGTGGACATTTAGGCATATGTTATAAATCATACAGTTAAAATTACAAATAAAATAAGGTCTCAAAAAGAATATTTGGTGACCAATTTATGAGTTTGAAGTTGTTTTGGATATATCTTATAATGATAATTTATTCAGTAAAGCATACTCTACAGTACATTGACCTATAGACATTTATAGAAGACGGTGCTGTACACAACCAAAAGATCATAGCTAGCTTGTTTAAATGCTTGGGTTGGATTTTGGTTGGCTTTCAACTGACCAACTTGCCTAACCAACCAAACCAAAATTCATCCTAACCACAACTCAAATATACAAATCTCTCAAGGAACATATCCCTAAGTTTGATTAACAAACCTGGATCCTATCCCAACATGAGTATGATGAGGTACCCTATTAATCTTTTGCAGTGGAAATGTCGAGAAAATAGGTAAGTTTACAAATGGCAGGTGTAAAAAAAGGATGATAGAACCCTTCAAACAGTAATGCCAAACCCAACCATCAAGGGCACGGTAAAGTTGGCTGTATTACCCAATTAGCCTGCTTTATTGCCATTCCTATCATGTTAGTACTGGTGGCTTATACTTTGCCCACAGCAATGCTCAGTTCAACTTCAACAAGAAAAGGTGAATTTCAACTTCATGCAAAGAAAATCCTGCGACTAAGGTACTACTGATATGACAATCCATATCTAAATTCCAAAAACTAAGTTCCTCTTGTAATTTCTCATAGATATCTCTCACTCTCTATATGTGTGTGTGCATATATATCTCTTTTCCTTCTCCGGTAGGGAATGGGGTAACACCCCCCCACCCCCCCCAAGAACCTTTAGTTGGGTAAGAGTCACATATTTTCATTCACGTAAGCAAATTGATTAGACGGAACAGTTTTTTTAATGGAATCTTCTGTTAGTCCCAAAATTATAATTGTAATTTTCTTTCTGGTAAATGCCATCCTCACCGAAGTCAAAAGAAGTTACAGAAAAAGACAAATGATACAAATGTGCATGCGTATTCATTAGCATGACTCGGAAATATCATAGAACCCGTTCTAATTTATATTCCAAAGCCAGAATGTTAACTCTTTAAAGCAGCATTTACCAAAATCTTACCAGTCCATGTGGACAAAAGTTGATGAGTAGTTGCCAGACTTTGTATAGAGCAGTCGATGATGATAGTCATGAAAATCAGCACTACAAAATTAATGAAGCAAATTTTAGACAAACAGGTAAAATGGACATATATGACAAAACAGGTTGCTAAGAAACGAGAGAGAAGATATGTATATGCTCACCCCCCATATAAAGGCAAGTAATTTGAGAGGCTCCATGGGAAATGATAACCACAATGTGCCTCAACCGTCTCCAGAACTCTAAGAACCATCCACACCCACAAGGTTATCAAATGAGGCCCGGTGATGGCAGGACCAATAATTGTAGCAAAACCAAGGAACAGTATTTCAGCCGGGTGAGCATATTCAGACGTAAGTCCAAATGGTGTTGCATACCTGTAGATATGATAAACACATTGAAATGAACACAAAGGCAAGGAAAAATAACATATTCTAAAAAATGCGTAAATTTTATAAGCAAATGATGTTCTCACTTACTCATGATGGACACTGTGAACATGTTTGTACAGCCATTTTGTATGTAAAAGCCTGTGTCCCCAGTAGAATACAAAATCCTCCAGGATGAAGTAGAATAAAATCTGAGTTGAAGCTACTCTCCTGCTCAACCAATAGGTTCTCAAAATCACTCCAAAAACAGGATGTATGCTTTGTAAAACATGAAAAAGGTAATACTGTACAACAATTTAATGGAATTAAAGAGTAATTTTATGTAGTTAAAAAATAATAAAAAAATATCATTCATATTAATGTCAGGAAAAATACGCTTCAGTACATAAAGAACCTGAAAAGTACCAGGATGGCAACGGGAGACTACTTCGCATGCCCATGTATCTGAACACGGGATAAGAAACAATCATAACCGGCAAGTTGACACCAAAATGATACAGCAGCAGGCGAGTGATACATTTCTCCTGAGCTGTATAGGTGTTATTTTTCGTCTGCGTTAAACCAAAAATCAATAAGAACATTAACTATTATACATTCCGCAAGATAAGATCAAAATTAGCATTCTTGAATGCATCTGAGAGAATGAAAATGTCCATTGGCACAAATAAGAAACCATGAAACTTTTTGGCTTTAAATTATTAGCCAAAGACAAGGGGTGGAGCTGTTAGGATATGTGTGCCCTAGCATAGCAAATTCTAATTTTGGATTGTAAAAGTCATGATTCCTTATCTGAATATTATTATTAAAGCATTATACAATTGCTGAATGAAATGTATTATTTTTCGATTCATTATGGAATTGATTGTGTCCACTTGATTACAAGATATATTTATATATGTATGTAATGGCAATTAATACTATGTTATAAATTAGTAATCATAAATGGTTCAAAGTCGGTAATTATGGATGGACATTTAATTAATTAAGAATTGAACCGAGTCCACGATAGATTGAGATATATTGCGAGAGCTGTCGTATGCAATTGCTCTCTATCACAGTCATGGCTTTTGACTCTCAAGCATGAGAGAAGTATAGACTCTTTTATTAATTAATAATTACTTTGATTTGTTCGGCGGATACCTCGGGATCCTTAGATCGACACTTTGGGTAGTTATGTAATTAATAGTTAGAGGTCTATATTCTCAATATTTGCATCAGTGCTATTTGTATTTATTTTGTTTTGATTATGGTTGATCACAAATTAAATTCGAAGGCCTTCGTATGTTTTAGACAAATGTTTTCTATATATATTTATTTAATAAATTATTATTTTTGTCAAATAAATATTTTATTGTGATTGAGCCGGAAATAATCAAAGGTAACAAAATAATTATATTAATTATGTTGTCAGATTGATGGCTTTAATTATCCGATAAATAATTAAGCATAGAGGGGTCAAAGTGCAACGTTGACTTAGAGGTTATTTACTATTTAATTGGAGTGCAATTAATTTCTTTTAGTGGAGTAGAAATTAATTTATGAATTAATTGAATTGGGTCTATGGTTTAATGGACCGGACCAACTATTAATTTATAGGAGCCAAGAAAATAGTAAGCCCAAAAGGATTCTCACCAATAGCCCAAGTTGATATTGGAGTTCTGTTAAAATTGAGAAAGTTGATTTAGAGATGGAGAATGATTTATTGTTTCCTTATTCTTATTTTTATTTTGCCTATATATACATGGGTCCATGTATATTTTAGGGACGACTTTTAGAACAAGAAAAATGAATACACTTTCTCTCTCTAGATTTTAGGGTTTGTTTTCTCTTCTAAAGGAGGTTACCACAAGTCTAGATTCCAAAGTCATTCATCAAGGCATATTGGTGATTCCTAAAGGGAAGATTATAATCAAGAAGAAGGAGAAAGGATCTTGCTAAAGGTATCTACAATAAGTGAGAACGTTCACTTTAGAGGAAAGATTAAAAGGTTTAGACCTTTGATGTAAGTATTCAATCTGTTTATTGAATCATACATCATCTTTTATTTGTTTTTGCATAAAACTTGTCTCTATATGATGAATCAAGATCCATGATTGCAAATCCCTCAAAAGTTTTTAAAAACTTACACGTTTTCCAACAGTGGTATCAGAGCATGGTTTGATTCATTACTAGAGATCATGTGTTTTTCAAAATCATCTTCATGGATCCAAATTATATATACATATATATATTTATTGATGTATGTTGATGTATGATTTATTATATTGATATATATTGATACATGATAATGTATGTATAATTATGAATGGATGATGATGTGTGTTTGGGCCATGGATGAAGCTTATAGGTATATTGAATGTAATTTTATCTTTAGATGAATGTAATTAAGGCTTTGATTTAGCCGTTTGAAAATTCAATGATGTAATTTAATTTTTTCCATTGTATTTCAAATTGTAAGTATTTATTAAAGCTATGTAATCTTCATCAAATGATGCTATGAAGCTTCAAGAGAGTCCGAAAAGGTTAAATAATGCTTCAGTAATTTTCTGGAATTTTTTCGAATTTTTCAGAATTTTCTGGAATTTTTTTGAGGATTAATTTAATTTTCTAGGAATTTTTCTGATTTTTCTGGAATTTCTCGGCGTTTTTCCGGTGGCCGGAGCATCGCCAGCGGCGAGAAAAGGCGTCGGAGGAGGCTGGAATCACATGTGATGCAGGTAAGGTGAGCCTGGCGCATGTTCCTCACGCGCCAGGAAGTGACATACTAAAGACTTGCTAGCGCGTGGATCTCACGCGCCAGCCAAGCATGTTTTCTTCTCCACGCGCGTGGAGGCGCGTCCCACGCGCCCCAGGCACGTGCCTTGACTTGCCAGCTTCCCAAGGCGCGTGCCAGCGCATATGGGGTCCTCGGGGCTCGTTCCAGGCAGCGTTTTGTTTCTCCTAACGCGTACAAGCTTCCTATGGGTGTTTACAAACTGTTGAAGGACGCCAATACAGCAAGAATAGTGTTTAAATGTTAAAAGCTGTATCTATTGGCCATTTATATTGCTTCTGTCTGTTATTTAATTATTTATGTAATGCATGGACTAATTTAATGCTGATTATAATTGTTCATGCATTGGATCCATGATTTTTTATCTAAATGGCTTGATTTATATTAATTAAATTATGAAAATAAATTGGATTAGATTGCTAATTAATTTGAGGGCATTCATTGGGAAACGGAAAATTATTTTTGTAAATTATTTTTTTGCCTCAAATTAAATATTAGTGAATCATTTAAAATCCATATATTTTCTAAATTTAATTGGATTAAAATCAAGGCGTTTTGCATGCATTAAATCATGAATTGAAAATCCTAGTTATATATGATTAAAAATTGAATGGGAGCGGAAATTTTTATACATTACCCCATGGCCTTCGTAATTATAACCATTGTGATTAGATCTTTAAAAATAAGGCTCCACGCATGATTTAAAGAGTCTAGATTACAAGAATGGTTGTCTCACGAAAATATATTTATTAAATGACCATTATAGTTAGATCTTTAAAAATAAGGCCCTACGCATGATTTAAAGAGTCTAAGTTATTAATGGCAATATATTTAATATTTGATTTTTCGTTGGAGCATTAATTACGTTATACACTCAATCTAAAATCAATAGTATTAGCTCCCCAACGGAGTGGTCTATACTAGGTGATTTTAGAAAGGCTAAATCTAATCGGGAATTATTTCATATATAGATAAGGCATTGTCTAAAGAGATATGGAAATAATGAGTTGTTCTCGTTAATAAGTAATAATGAATTCCGCCAACCGGATAAGTTATTGGCATATTGATTGTCCAATTTTTCATGCAATGTGGTTAAGGGACCCACAATTAATTAATTATTTTATTCTTGCATGATTATTTTTATTCACTTTATTTATTGTATGAATGCTTTTATTTTTAGATTTATCATGACTAGTCTATTCAGTCCACTTGCAAACATACTAAAAGAAAATCGATTAACTGGACCTAATTATATCGATTAGAAAAGGTAACTAGATACTGTACTCACATATGAGGGGTTGAATTATGTGCTTACTATTCCCAGAGCTTCTCCACCTTTGCCTGAGGATCCTCCTGAGGAGCATGAAGGTTTTAAGAAATGGAATAAAGCAGATGAGATGACTAGGTGCTACATTCTTGCTTCACTCTCGAATGTACTCCAAAGTCAACATCTTCAATATCTCACTTCTGCAGATATCATGCTTAACCTCAAGGAAATGTTTGGGCAAATTGGTAAGAGTGCACGCCAAAATGCTATGACAAACTTGATGACCATCAAGATGGTCCAAGGTACTTCAGTTCGGGAACATGCTTTAAAAATGATTGGTTTTCTAAATGAACTGAAGATCCTTGGATGCAACTTGGATGGTGAATTTCAGGTTGACATGATTATCGCTTCATTGCCAGACTCATTTAACTCTTTTAGGGTTAATTATTCTATGAATAAGCTTAAGTACACACTCGCTGAACTTTTGAATGAGTTGGTAACCTTTGAAGGGATAATCAAAAGTAAGGGTGCATCTATCAATTACACTCAGTCTGCTGGACCATCCACTTCTAGGCCCAAGAGAAGGGGCAAGAAACAGAAGAAGGATGGTGCCAAAACTGTGGTTGTGCGAAACAAAGTAATCCAAAAGGATAAGGGAAAGAAGAAAGTGCGGGTTGAAGGCGAAGGAAACTGCTTCCATTGCGGTCAACCGGGTCACTGGAAACCTAACTACCCAACACTTCGCACGCAAGGCAAAGGAAAATGTATATTCATTGTTGAGGCATGTAATGTGGTTGAATCTATAGATTCCTGGTGCATAGATTCTGGAGCCACTAATAATGTTTGCAATTCATTGCAGGGATTCCAGGAGTCCAGAAGCCTCAATGAAGGAGAGATATACTTGCATATGGGATCTAATGCTAAGATGGAAGCTAAAGCAGTGGGAGTGGTTCATATGCAGTTTGATAGTGGGAGGAGTCTTATTTTAGAAGATTGTCTTTATGCGCCAAATGTTAGGCGCAATTTAATTTCAGTTTCTTCGTTGGTTTGCAAAAACTATATTTTTACTTTTGGAAAAAATGTTTTAATTAAATTAAATGGTTGTGTTATAACTTCTGGTGCATTGAAAGATAATCTATATGTTTTAACTCCTAGCTCATATCAAATGCAAAATTATGAATTAAATGCAACTTCATCTAGATTGAATGTTAAAAGAAAAGCAGTTTCTCTAAACTCATTGTATCATTGGCATCTACGATTGGGTCACATCAATCAAAATAAGATTCAAAGGTTGGTTAAAGAAGGTTTATTACCTTGTGAGGCAGAGGAGCCTATTGTCACGGACTTGAACCTTTTCAAGCTCCCGTGCGGCCTTAGACACTTTTAAGCCCCCTTGAAGCGCTAAGTCAGCCTACCCGAGTGTGCTAGCTTAGTGAAGACTAAGGCTAGACAAGTGTTTTGCTTACTTGGGTGTGTAGGAAGAGGTTAGGCAAGTGAGCAAGAGAGTTTGG